TCTCCCTCCCTCTTCCCTTCTCTCTCAAATCAATAAGATCATATATATATATATATATATATATATATATATATATATATATATATTTTTTTTTTTTTTTAAAGTGTGGCCATAGTATATAAAAAGAGACTACATTCTTCTTCTCTCAGACCTCTTCATCCTTCAGACCAAATCCTGGTCTTGATTCTTTCTGATCTCTGGTGGAAGAAGTGGTGTGGAGGGACGAAGGCAGGACAGAGAGAGCAGTGGGCTTTCCCTAGAGGCTTAAAGGGATTTTTCTGGCTGGTCTTTAGAGAGTTAACACGGGGATAACAGAAATCTAAATATTCCATCTAGCAATTAGAGAGTAATTTTAATTACAGTCATATGAACTGTTGGCCTTCTTGTCCTAATTACCGCACAGCATATAAACAACTATAACTTCTCATTAAATGTATGTCAGATATTCTGGGTGGTAAGTTCTATTAGACCAGAGCACTTGCCTCTATTTGGGTGTCCTGGGTAGCCCTCACTAGGGTTTTATGCGATATGGTCTTCAGGGTTAGTTTACACACAGCACACAAAAGTGACAGAGGCAGAGACTGTGTGTGATCACAGACAGACATTGGTGAGGATGTGAGACAACCCCGATTCCTGCCTTGGGATGGGTTGTGGACAAGTGTTCCCAGAGCATCTTCTCTGGGCCAGCACAGAGTAAACCTCTTCCTCCACAACCACACTGACATCAAAGGCTTTGCCAGCCTCCTTCTTGCCACACAGGGCCAGAGACACGGGAAGTCCCCTGCTCTTTTGATTCAATTTGCTATTCACCTCAATTTTCCTAAAGTGCTCAGTCAGTTTTTGGGATGCCAAAGGGAAAGTGATTTCAAAATGCAAGAAAGCAATAAGTGCAAAGTTTGTTGGGTTCTCTTCTGGGAAGGGTTCCTCCTGACCTCCCTTTGGGAATATCTCACATCAGCAAAATATGTGCCAACACTGGGATTGTGTTGGTTAGTGCTCCCTGACACAGTTGTTCACTGTCTGGGTGTCTTCAGGTTGTTTCCCTCAGGCATGTCATACTCATTTTGTTTAACAAATGTTCTGGATGCTACTATAGGAGCTCATCCTATCTAATAAAGAGGGAATATGCTAGTTGACCATCATGCCTCCACAAGATGGCAGCACCCAGTCCCCTCATCCCCCAGCCACCCAGGGCTGGCCTGAGGCACAGGCAAATCTCAGATGTTGGCTGCTCAGCTGACACCTGAGGTGCAGGCAAGCCTTGGATGTCAGCTGCTCCCAACCGTGCAGGGCCAGCCCAAGGCACAGGCAAGCCTCAGATGGTGGCTGCACAGCTAAGGCCCGAGATGCAGGCAAGCCTTGGGTGGTGGTGGCTGCCCAGCCACCCAAGGGCTGCTGAGGCTCAGTAACCAGGGCAAGCTTAGGCTTTCACTGCTGGCAGTGGCAGCAGCAGTGGTGTGATAGGGCATTGCCTTCCCCTGATTGGTCACCTCTTGCCCCTGAAGGCTCCCAGACTGTGAGAGGGCTTTGCTGAGGGGACCCCCCCACTCCAGTGCATGATGCACTGGGCCTCTAGTAGTATTATAATCGATAAGACTGTGATGAGCATTAAATGAGTTACTATTTTTCTCTTCCCAAAGATGTCCACTTTTGAATCCCCAAATCTCTGAACAAGCTTCCTTACATGTCCAAAGAGAATTTGCAGATGTGATAAGGTTAAGGATTTTGATATAGGAGTATTATCCTGGAATACTATCCTGAGTTGTCCATATGGGCCCAGCGTAACCACAAGGGTTCGTATAGGAAGGAGGTAGGAGGAAGGGAGTCAGAGACTGAGATGTGCTTGAGGAACCAGAGGCCAGAGTGATGTGGTACCAAGAGCCAAGTACTGCAAGCAGCCTCTAGAAACTAGGAACAACAAGAACATGACTCTCTCCTAGAGTCTCCAGAAGGAGAAACACAGCTCCATCCACACCCTGATGTTCCCTCCACTAGGCTCACTTAGGACTTCTGTTATAGCAGCAACAGAAACCTAATACATCTTCATTAACCAAGACACAGAAGGTTAAGAAATGTGGCCAAGGTCACAAGGAAAATGAATGACAGAGCTGAGACTCGGAGCTAGTCTGATCCTTTGCGCAGCCATTACACTTCATAGCTTCTTCTTCTTCTTTTTTTAATATATATTTTTATTGATTTTTTTTACAGAGAGGAAGGGAGAGAGACAGAGAGCCAGAAACGTCGATGAGAGAGAAACATTGACCAGCTGCCTCCTGCACAACCCCCACCGGGGATGTGCCCACAACCAATGTACATGCCCTTGACCAGAATTGAACCCAGGACCCTTCAGTCCGCAGGCTGATGCTCTACCACTGAGCCAAACTGGTTTCGGCTACTTCATAGCTTCTTGCCTAGGGCTGCCCCAGAGGCCGGTGTCCTCTCTGTTCACCAATAACCCAACAGAGAACAGTGCCTTTTTGCTCTTGGGGAATGGAACTTAATTGAAAATTACCAGTCAGGATGGAAGTAACCTGAGCCAGAGGAAACTGTCTGCCTGGCTTCTGCACTCTGTCTCCTGACAGCATCACCACCCGGTACCCAACAAGGTGAACCAATTGCACCTAAAATCCCAGCCCCGGGCTTCATGGGGAAGAAACCTGGATCCCCCTTCCCCTCTACATAGCGATGCATCTAAGGATGTTTCAAAAGAGGGACTCAAAGCAGGGCCTCATTGGCATTTATTCAAATTGTGCATAATTGAATACGTTATCTGTACCTAGAAAACCACATGGGGTACAGGCTCTCTAAAGAGGAAGTAATTTTCATTAACACAGTCTAAAACACCTACCTGATAATTGCCATGTGATAAACCTGATGTTGCAGACAAAGGTTTCTTATTCTTTCTAAAATTTTGTCCTCCCTTCCTCATTTCCTCCGTTCCTCCATCCCTCCCTTCTGTGTTGGATCTGTATGTCAAACATATGTCTATTCAGAAAGGCCAGGCTAGTGGTGGCTGGCGGGTAGTGGCCACTGTGTAGCCGTGGCAGAGGTCATGCTCCCTGTTACTACAGACAGCTCAGAGAAAGCCAATAACCTTGTCTCTCCTTCCTCAGAAGACTGCTCATTCTGTGCTTGCTGAGGAACATTCCACTTTTTAAATATATATATATGTAAATTATATATATTATTGATTTCTTACAAAGAGGAAGGGAGAGAGATAGAGAGTTAGAAACATCAATGAGAGAGAAACATCAATTAGCTGCCTCCTGCACATCCCCCACCGAGGATGTGCCCACAACCAAGGTACATGCCCTTGACCGGAATCAAACCTGGGACCCCTCAGTTCGCAGGCTGACGCTCTGTCCATTGAGCCAAACCTGTCTTGGCAACATTCCACTTTTAACTACATCTTCAACCCATATTTTTCCTCTAATTCCTTTCACTTAGCCCACAAACACTATCTTAAAAGAGGGGAGTGGGGAAGGGCTTCCAAGAACTAACCCTCCTTTGGTCACATTATCTTTCTAAAATGAAAACAGGAGCTTGTCACCCCCTTCCCAAAATGTCTGGTGGGGCAGTCTTGCCTTGGGATCAGCTCTTGGGGGGTTCTTCCATCTCTCCCCTGGCAACTCATCCTGATCATGCTTACCTCGCCCCGCCCCTGGCCCTGATCTGAGCTGGAAGGGCGTAGGCACAGGGGCCACAGCACTGTAAGATGAGTACCTCTTTCCAACATCTGTGAACTAGGGAAGTGGGAAGATAGATATTCTATTAATATGGAAAACTTTTTCTTTCTGTTGAAAAGAGGTTTGTTACATACATTTGTAATCCAGAGTAATATGCCAATATTGAGCCAATTAAAATCTTGCTAACACTCTTCCTTGGCAAATGTCACATTATGACCTAGTAATAATCGTGTTTCAGGTTTTAAGCTGCTAAATGGTCCTCAGGAGACCGCCAGCTACGGCCTCAGAGCAGGGCATGGCCTGCAGTTACACTGCGCCCCAAGCTTTGGAGAAACCTTTCAATCGAGACAGGCCTGCACCAGTGAGAAACCCTATCTTATTTTATTTCACTACTTATTGTAACCACCACATGAAAGGGTTGTCTGTTTGCATGGACGTGGTTGGATATGCATTTTGCCGTTTATGTCAGGAGCAGTGTCATGGGTGGTACCTGAGTTAAAAGGTGCCAGATTGTCAACATTTTCCAGTGGTATTTTGGTACCCTGTACAGTTTGAGAGTATGCAGTGAGTCCCTTGGTGATGCACTCCTTAATCCAGTTTTGCACTGTGAGTTCTCTCTGCAATCTTGACTCAGTTGGGGGGATAGACATTAGTGAGGCTGTTGGCTGCCCAGCCCGTGAGGTTGTAACCACGGCTCACTGTCCACCTGATGTCAGCATGCCTTTACTATAGGCAGGGCCTTCAGCGACGCCCACCAAGCAAGGCCTGCAGATCCACACCTGCAAAGAGTAGCTGAGCATGAACTTTCTCAGCAGATTCCCCAAGAATACTCAGGGTGGAATGCTTCTTTCTATCCCATTCATGTTCTCTAACTTGACCTTAGTCTCCGTTGATTTTAGGTTGAAAGTAGGTGGCGTTCAGTATCAGGGCAAAGAGCTAGGATGGAGCGAGCCCAATCCAGGGCAGGAGATAGCCAGGAACCTGCCAGTTCTGTCTGCATTTCAGGGACTGGGACCAGAAGGATCCTGTGATGGGACTCCCTCTTGGCTCAGGTAACATTGTTCTCTCCAGTGGAGACCTGGGTTCCACCTCAGGGTCACATGCTGATGAACAGGCATCCAGTCACTGGAGAAGCACACCTGGGTGGCAGGAGCCCCTAGGGACAAAAGAAAATAGCCTGGAAGTATGGGCCAGGTGTGCAGGAAGGAGTCACAGGCTGAAGGAAAGCTTTGTAGCCCCTGGCTCAGCTGCTTGTAGGGTGACCCTTTTGGCTCAGGTGTGCCCACTTTTTAGCTTCTCAATCCTCTTTTCCAGATTGTGACAATCTTGGCAAACATGTCGGTCCTGGAGCAGTGCGCCTCGGACATCATTCAGGAGAACGGTATGTGCTTTCAGCATGTGCATGTTGTATGGGTAATGTGACCATACAGAACTGCCGGCCTTTGTGTTTGTGTGAAGGCTACGTGGAGGCAATTTGTACATGTAGGTCTCCACAGTTGCATGAGCATGTATATGTGTGCTTATGTGTGCAGCTGGGCCAATGTGGAACTGTCTGCTTGCCTTCATGAGGCTTCAATTCCAGTGGGAGATAGTGAACAGGAGATAGAGAAAATCAGGTGATGGTAGTGATGTGAGGAAGATAAAGGGGGTAAGGGGTAAGATAGATAGACCCAAGGTAGGAGGTTGGCAGTTGCTATTTTCACTAGGATGGTGAAGAGAAGACAAAGATTTCATTATGATCCAAAGAGTAACAATCCATTCCTACCAAAGGATGTATTCCAACTTTCAATCACTCTGATCTGATTTGCCTTAGCCTCAGTAGAATGCTGAAGAGCTTGAGGAGTGGGGAACAGGTCAGGGTCCGCCAGATCCTCAATACCTAACCTGAGAGCATTGCTTTCACACTTTCTCCCCCTCCCACCTTGTGCTGGGTGTGTCACCATAGTCCATGTGAAATGGGCCAGGTTTCAGTGCCTGGGTCCTGTAGAAAGATGATGGGACCCCCTACCCCTTCACCTGGGAACAAAGTGAGGGCTTCCTGTGACTGGGAAATAAGGCAGCAATTAGCAATAGGTTGGAAACCAGAAAGGCTAATGAGCCCAGCAGTTGCTTCTGCTCTTGCTAAACCCCCTTTTCCCAGGTCGCCCTGTGGTTTAAACAAACGTACACATTCCGCATCCCCCATTGCTCTCTAACTAATTGAAAGATATCATTTCGTGTCCATTCTATGTGATGAGCTAATAATGAAAAACTTTCCTGAACCAGTTGGGAAGCTGGGAGCCCAAGGGGTCATTGTGGCCTATCCCTTCAGCACTTGGAGCCTTAAGTTCCAGTGGTCAACAGGAGTGTAATACAGAGGCCGTGGATTTGGGATTGGATGATCTGGCATCTGTAGAGGGTTGTATGGTTCATAAAGTTCTACGGATGGGCTCCATTAGTCAATAGTTATTGAGATCTACTATGTGCCTGGCGTTGTGCTAAACAAATAAACACAGACATCAATAAATTCTTGCCTTTGTCCTGGAGGAGATCACAATCTAGAAGGAGAGGCCAACTTAATAAGAGTGACAACATGACAAAAATGTGACATTCACAATAAGACAATGCAGTGGAGGGAGGGTAACGTAGCAGCTGATACCATAAAAACTGGAAACAGTGCTACTATTTACTAGCTGTATGACCTCTGTGCTTCCATCTGCAAAATGGGCACAATAGCAACATCTACCTCATAGGGCTGATGGGAGGAGAGCATGTGAGAAGTGTATACTGTCACAGAATGAGCACTATGCCAAGGGTATCTGCTCTTTCAGGAAACAGTGGCAGTCCCCATGGCCCAACTGAAGAAAGTTTGATGAAGAGACTATTTCCAAAAGTGGGCAGTACCTGAGGGATCCACAGTAATGATGACATTATTATGTTGCACAGGCTGAACTTTGAAAGGGGTCCTCTTCCCAGGGCCCACTTGACTCTGATGTCTCTTGCCCTGTAGTCTGGTGCTGTCATCTCTGTCCTGCCCGAAATTGTGTATGATGTTGGTGATGGGGGGCTGGAAGAAGGGCGGTGAGAGGTCAGATAAGTGCATGACCCTGAAAAGACACTTCCCTTCTCTCTGGGCCTCAAAGGGAATTATACTAAAACCAAATTCAAGACTTCTGGAGGTTTTAGGGGATCATGTACTTACTATGCATTTAACACGGTGTCAGACATGTAGTCATAAAGCTCAGTAATAGCATTTAAAATGTGAAAAAGAATGTCCTCCAGAGGTTCTTTCCAAGTGCAGTGACTTGGTACATGGAACCAGACACCCCGTGGCAGAAGGAGTAGAAGAGGTGGCCTTGTCTAGCTTCCTTCCAGTGTGTGATATCCCCTCAGTCTTTCTGACAGCCTCTACTCCAGCCCTGCAGCTATCCATCCAGCAGGCTCCTAGGAGAAGGCTCCCCACTGAGGTGGGTGCCAACTATTCATTGCCTCTTGTCCAGGAGTCCAGCTTATCATGGGCATGCTGTCTGAGAAGCCAAGATCTGGGACCCCTGCTGAGGTGGCAGCCTGTGAGCGAGTCCAGCAGAAGGCTGCAGTGACTCTGGCCCGTCTCAGCCGAGACCCGGATGTGGCACGGGAGGCAGTGCAGCTGAGCTGTAAGTGGTACTGGCTATAGTGGGAATGGAGTTGGGGGGTGGGAGAGCAGCCTCGATTTCGTGGTGGCAACAGAGGGCTGGCTGGGGTGAGCCCCACTCTCTGGGTGCTGAGAAATACTGGCATGGAGGCCCGGGGTGCAGCCTTTAGTCTATTAATAGCTTGTAATTGGGGCTGAAGCAAGACAGAGGAAGGGCTTAGGGAGGTTTTAATTGGCCAGAACAATGACTCACCTGCAGACTTCCTGTTAATCAGAACTCCATTTCTTCATTCAACTAACACATTTCCTCATTCAGTTATTCACTTACTCACTTATTTACTCATTTGTTCATTTACTCATCAATTCATCCTTTTATTTTTCATTCATTAGCATATTTATTACTTTATTTATTCACCATTAACTCATTTATGAATTCACTCATTCCTTCAGTTAGTCACTTATTTACCCAACAAATGCTGGGCTCTGTTCTGAGTGTTAGGGATATAACATCAACTATAGCATCGTCCTGACCATAGGCCCTTACACACCTATGGCGTGGCAGGTGTGAAAAGAAACATTTGCACTTGAATGTTATAGAGCAATGCTCAAAGCATGTCCATAGCACATTTGGTACACAAGGGAAGTAGCCCACATTCATCTGGGTGGGTCAGAGACTATTTTAGCAAGGAGGTGAGTCGTCAGCTGTGGTTTGAGGAGTTCTCCTGGTGTTAAGGTTGAGAAAGGACTCTCCAGGTAGAAACAGTACCATGCCTGTCCTCCAGGTAGGCAAGGTTGGCAAGAGGTGACCCAGAACGTGTCACATACCATTTATCACTACATTATAATGAGGTGGTTTTTTTAAGTTTGACAAAAGTCAGTTTGCACTGAAAAGCAGTTACTTATTTAACTTTTCTTCTCTGAAGGCCTAGGCTAGTGGTTGGCAAACTGTGGCTCTCGAGCCACATGCGGCTCTTTGGCCCCTTGAGTGTGGCTATTCCACAAAATACCACGTATTCTAATTAAGTTAATAACAATGTACCTACCTATATAGTTTAAGTTTAAAAAATTTGGCTCTCAAAAGAAATTTCAAACATTGTACTGTTGATATTTGGCTCTGTTGACTAATGAGTTTGCCTAGGCAACATTAATCTACTCAATCTGTATTTTTCTAAAGTTTCAGCTACGATACATATATATTTTTCTCTTTAAAAAATATGTTTTTTTTTAAAATTGATTTTTTAGAGAGAGAGGAAGGGAGAGGGATAGAGAGATAGAAACATCAATGAGAGAGAAACATTGATAGTCTGCCTCCAGCATGCCCCCTACTTGGGATTGAGCCCACAACCCGTACATGTGCCCTGACTGAGAATCAAACTGGTGACCTCCTGGTGCATGGGGTGAGGCTCAATCCACTGAGCAATACCAGCTGGGCAACAACACATTTTCTGATAGACAGCTGAGAAATAAAAGGTGCCGACAGTTCCACTGATAAAGATGCAAACAGTAAATGTGGCTCTGGTAAAATCAGAGGTACCTCCACAGAACTAGGTCTTTAGAGAGAGACCTATGCCACCTCGGCTACAGTTTTAACCAAGTTCAGTCCCAGCCAGGGTTCTGGCACTTAGGGGTTTGGTTTTGACACTGCAGCTCATCCTGGCCCTGAGGGTCTGGTCACACCTGAGGGAGCAGGTCTCCACCATAAGCTCCTCCAGGTGGGTTCATTCTCCTTTCCTGGCTGCTTGATGGGCTGACAGGAGCCCTGGGAACCACCTGCTTCCGCAGGCCCCACCTGGAGAGCTGTGTGAGAGAGAGTGGAGCACCCCTGGCTCAGGCTTGGCCAGGCTGGTCTCCACCCAAGGCTTGAGGCTTTCCATGTGTTTCATACAGGTATGTCCCGCCTCATTGAGCTCTGCCGATCGCCCTCCGAGAGGAACAGCAGTGATGCTGTGCTGGTGGCCTGCCTGGTGAGTTCTCAGTCTTTCCCCATTTTTCTCTCGGGTCAGGGTAGCTGGCTATGCCATGGTTGGCTTGCATAAGCCACGAAACTTCTCTGGGCTTTACCTTTTCTCCTTAAAATGGAGGTAAGAGTAATACTTGTTCACTTAATTCATAAAATTGTGAAGAGAATGATATGAAGTCATGTGTGTGAGAGGTGGGAGGCTGGGGAGCCACAAACCTTTAGGTTCTAGGGAATCTGAACAATGATCAAGACCGAGTGGCTGGCAGCGGGTTGCTGGGTGGTGTTAGTGATGTCACTGTGCTTGATGTACGTGGGAGCTAGGGTGTGGATGTCCCCTGCCTCTTCCAAACTGGCACAGTGAGAAAGCTTCCCTCCCCTCCTTGGAAGGAAGCATTGTGGCTTCAGTCCTTCACAGTGGGAATTCCATCCACCCTAAGCTCTGGAGGCCTCCCACTGCCTCCAGGCTGTGTCTTCCTGTCTAAGCCAGAGTGCTATGAGCCACCTGACACTATCCTTGTCCCTTGGCCCAAGCAAATACCCTTTCTACAGCTCTGCCAGCACCTCCTTCAAGGCTTAGATCAACACACCTCTCCTCCATGCAGCCTCCTGGGAGCTCTCCAGGCTCACGATAGGACCACACAGCATGCACCTGGGCCTGCCTGCGCGGATTTTTGTCTTCCTCAGTAGGAGGCAGGTTGAGCTCTCTGGTGTGCTGGGTGTTTTAAAGGGAGGCTCTTAGAATTCAAACACAGGCCAGCCTGATGTTGAAGACCTTGACTTTTGACCAAACCATCTTGTCTCCAGCCATGCTTTCTCCCCCATGCCTTATGGTCCTGATCTTGTTCCCTTGGCTCATGAGGGGAATTGAATTTCCCCCCTTCTAGCATGGGGCCTTCTTGTGGTCGGGATCCTTTTCCAGTTCTTTGCTTCTCCATAGGACTTTGGGTTTGGTGACTATTTCTGGCTCGGTTGATGAACTGATAAGACTTGGCCTCCCTCAGCACCCCCTGTTGGTGAGTGAGTGTGGTTTGGTTGCCAAAAGGGCTTCTCTATTTGAGTGCTGCCCCCCTGGCTGGTGAGACAGAGTTACTAGGTGCCTTGCCTGGTGGGTGGAGTTTGAGACTGCCTCTCTTGCGGGTCCTCAAGGTGTTCTTTCCAGCTTTAAAGGCTCCTTTCAGGGGGATGGAAGACATTTCAGTCATTGTTTCCCACATCTGCGAAAGTGGCAGCACAGATTGTCTCCTGCAAACAGGCTTGATTTTTCCTTAATGAAGCAGCTGTCAGTGGGCTGCTGGGCTTGTTAAATACTTACGTGTTTCCAGACTGTCTGTCTGGGAACGAGATCTTGAGATGAGTGGTTGTTAACTCTCCCGGCAAAGCAGAGGCTGAGAGAGAAAGGCTTTGGAAGGGTGGGAGGTCCATTAAGCCCCTGGGCCCCGAGGTGGTTTGGGTTCATGCCCTGTAGACTTTCTAGGGACCCTGGGTAACTATTTGCTTTTGTGTTTTTTTCAGGTCTGTTTCTAGTTCTCTCTCTTGTGTTTTGTTTTTGCTTTTCTGTCCTTCTAGAGGTTGTCTCCTCAGAAATTTTTCTCTCTCTCCTTCGCTCCCTTTCTCTCTTTCTTTTTATGCCTTCCAGAACTCTCTCTCCTTCTTTTCCTGACTCCTCATCTCCTCCTACCTCTCTCCTAAGCTTCCTGCCCCAGGGTGTGCTCTTTTTTTTCTTTTCTTTTGTCATTACTAGTCTGTCCTCTTTCCATCTCCCTTTCATGCATGGGTTCATTTTTTTTCATCAGTTCATCTTTGTCTCTTTTGATACTTTTTTTCTGTTGTCTCCTTTTCTCTGTCTCTGCTACTTCTACCTTATTTTTCTCTATATGGGTTTATTTTCTCTCTTTCTCTAGCTTTTCTTCCTTCTGTCTTTTTGCTTTATTTTCATTCCTGTTGATGTAAAATAGATCGATGGTCTCACCTCTTCTGCTGAAGATTCTGGCTTGTTTTTACTCAAGGGTAATGGGGTTATTTCTCTTTGTTGGATCAAGAGCAGTCAGAAAGTGTTATGGAATCAGCCTGAGGGAAATCATGCCCCAAGGGGAAATAGGAGATAATCTCCTGGAGCCTCCTTCCTGCCACTAGTGTCTCAGATCCTATCCATGGCACAGAAACACATGCCCCTCTTATCCCAGTGGACATGGCAGAGCTTGTTAGTCCCACAGCCAACTAAAGCCATCTTCTCCTTCCACTGACTTGGTCATTTCTCAGCCATAGGTTACCTCTCATGTCTAGGTAATAAGTTCTATGCCCTCCTTAAATGCAATATAAACTAGTGTCCTGGACTTGCTGCATCCTGCTGTGTGTGTGTAGGTATGAGAGCTCTGGAGTTGAACTTCTGTGTGATCTCAGGAAGGCCTTAGTGTACTTATTTCCAAATTGGAGATCATGATACTTACCTTGAGGTATCCTGTAAGGACCACTCCAGATATTGTCCCCTATTTTTGTTTCCCAGGGGAAGGACATCCTTAAACTCTCACCTTGTTTCCTGATGTGTACAGGTTCTAGAAGAGGGAAGGAATTCCTATTTATTGAGCACTTAGTATGCATTACTTCAGCTCCCTAATAAAGAGGTCTATATAGATACACAGCTCACATGAGCAGCTTCAGGTAGTTCTAGCAGTAGACTCAATTTTAAAGCACTTTATTTGATCCCTTTTCTCAGCAAACATTTATTGAGTCCCATGCCAGCCCCTGTTTTACCTGCTGCAAATACAGAAAAAACAAACCAAAAACAGAAAACAAGCTAACAGTCTGTACCCTTAATGAGCTCAGAGTGTAGTGTGGGAGATACACACTTAAAAGACAATTGCAGTCATGTATGAGAAGGTTAAGGTCAGTGCAGGGACTGTGCATGCACAGGGGAAGGAGGAACAGGGGAGGCTTCTTAGAGGAGATGACACTGGGACAGGCCATGGAGGATGAATGCAACTCTTGGCTAGAAACTTGTGGGAGGGATTTTATGTCATAGAAAGGAGCTGAGGAAAGGCACATGGGTGTGAAACAGGACAGCATATTCAGGAAAGTGAAACTCTCCATTTGTGAAGATGTGAGCAGTGATTTCATTCTGCTTGCACTTCTCTTTCCTATTCATCCACATCTTAGTGACAGAATCTTCACTTCCTTCAACTTTATGAGCTTCCTTCCTCTTTCTTTATTTCTTCCCTCTTCATCTCATAATGCTTTGCTCAGAACATAGTTGAATTTATGGATAAGTGAATAGCCCTTGCCATTCTAAGGTTCCTCTAAGGATCTGAAAGCATCTACTGATGGCCCTGGCAGTTCTTGTCTATAAGATGACCATATATTTCACTAAGTTGATCAGATCCTTAAAATGACGGGTATTGAAAACAACCAGGTTCCTGAGATGGCAGAAAAACAAAGATGGCAAGACCATTATTAAGATCATGAAGATTTTCTGATGACATCCACCATGGTGACCAAGGTGCAAATGAAACCAGGGGACCAAGTGATACGATTGCTATGATGATCAGGTGACAAAAGAACCAGATGACAACAGGTGTTAAGGTGACAATCAGCTCAAATTACCTGGTAAACAAGCCACTTCCTGAAATGCATCTCTCTGGGACTTGAAGAAAATACATGCACCTGAGCGGAGCCCAGTCCGACTCGTGTCACCTCTTCTGTTTTCTTCCCAGGCTGCTCTGCGTAGATTGGCTGGGGTCTGTCCTGAAGGCCTCCAGGACTCCGACTTCCAGCAACTGGTCCAGCCCCGGCTTGTGGACTCTTTCTTACTCTGCAGCAACATGGAGGAGAGTTTTGTGTAGCAAATGTGAGAGAGGAAAGACATTGGCCCCATTCTCTTGCCCTCTGAGTACACACTTGTGAACACACCTGAGTACATACCAGCCCCCTCACCTCATTATTTATACTTAATTTATTTTTTACATGAAGTGGACCTAGGGCTAAATATCCTAGCAACATCATCAGGCAGTCTGTGTTTCTTGGGAGTCTTTTTTGCTTTTATTTTTTGACTTCTGTGACTTTTCAGTTGCAGATGTTGAAATGCATAATGGCTAATATGACAGATTGTCATGGGTGATTTCACTCATCTTGCTTTCTCTACTCTCACTATGTAATATTGCCTCATTTTTTAAAACTTGGCAACCAAAGTATTATAACTACCTAGAATTTTTTTTAAAAGTAGATTTGCTCTTTTTAAAAGATTTTAAATGAAATTCATAGTTGGACGGAATATACTAGAAGGAAACTTATTCTTTAATAAATGAAATCATACTAAATTTGTCTTGGATTTTTCTGAATAAATTATGCCTTAGATTAACTTCTTGCTTCCCAAGGTTTTATGCAACAAAAATTTCCCACTGTTAAAACTGCATAGAGAATTGTATTTTTTTTTCCATAAGTACATAAATGGGTAAAGTTCTAAGTTAGTGGGAAATAAAAAATATTTCCAAATTCTCCAGAAACTCAGCTTCCCTTAGCTTTTTCACTTTTGTGTAACCTTGTGGTGAATAGTACCTCATCAAAGGTATACTTGAAAGTACAATAGTAGTGTGCTGGATGATGCAACCTTTGCGGTGGGGTTCAGGATCTGAAGGAGGGGCCGACGTACAAATGAAAATGCTATACAAGAAATATGAATTTAGAAGGCATTGGAGGCCAGATGGAGCCTTTTTTCTTGAAGAGACACACCGAAACTGGGTCCCATCTGCTTTTATTCAGTTTTTAAAAAGTATATATATTTTATTGATTTTGTACAGAGAGGAAGGGAGAGAGATAGAGAGTTAGAAACATCGATGAGAGAGAGTCCACGATCAGCTGCCTCTTGCACACCCCCTACTGGGGATATGCCCGCAACCAAGGTTCATGCCCTTGACCGGAATCAAACCCGGGACCTTTCAGTCCCCAAGGCAATGCTCTATCCATTGAGCCAAACCGGTTTCAGCTGCTTTTATTCAGTTTTAGATACACACCTTGCCCTCAGTCAAGCCCGGCAAACAGGTAGCAGACAGACCATCTCTAATGTCAATAAAGACCAGTAAAGATCAGGAAGGTCTAGTAAACATTTACTTGGAAGCTATCAGGTCAGGAAATTGCTTTGAGCCACCACTAACAACACGAATAATCAGTGCTTAGTGTCAGCCCTACTAAGGCTCAAGGTCCACTGGCCTTCAGCTTTCCTTGGTGCACTCTCATGATAGTATTGGCAAGTGGTGGCTTTCTGCAGCTGGAACTTGCAAGGAACTATTGGGAGGATTTCCTCTCGATTCCACATTCACTGACCTCATGCTGGTAGGTTGAAATTGGCAACAATGAGAATATTTACACCGTAGAAATTGGCAGATACTACAAAGCAGAGATTTAAAAAATATCCTCAACCAAGGGCATGCTAAGAGAGAGAGGGAGAGAGAGAGAGAGAGAGAGAGAGAGAGAGAGAGAGAGAGAGAGAGAGAGGAGGGGAGGGGAGGGGAGGGGAGGGGAGGGGAGGGGAGGGGGGAGGGGAGGGGAGGGAGGGAGGGGAGGGGAGGGGAGGGGAGGGGAGGGAGGGGAGGGGAGGGGAGGGGAAGGGAGGAGAGGAGAGGAGAGGAGAGGAGAGGAGAGGAGAGGAGAGGAGAGGAGAGGAGAGGAGAGGAGAGGAGAGGAGAGGGAAACATTAATGTGATGAAATCCTCAAACCACCCTGGTCCCCCTCAATTTTACAGTCTAGAGGTTGACTGTATGCTTGGCTATATCTGTGAGCAGCTTCTGGGCTTTCAGGAGCTGCCTTAGCCAGGCCCCAGGCCAAAGAATCCCACTCTAAGCTCAGAATAAGAGCCCTTCTTTAGTTCAGTGGCTTCCTTTGACGTTTGTCTCAGGATCAGTCCTAATGCTGATCCTATTTAATGACTGCCTTCTACATACAGTCATTTTTACCATGTATTATGCCTCATAATTTTCACATTTGCGAGTAATTAATATTCCCACTTATACCCTCCATTACAGATTAGGAAACTGAGGGCTAAGAGAAGTTAAGTAATTTTGCCAGAATCAAACAGCTATCAATAATTTGATGTGGGGAGTATATAAACCCACATGTCTCTGATTTCAGAGGCCAATTAGGAAGGAAGCAGGACCTTTGCACCAGACACTTCTAGAAGGTAAGTGTGGCTCTGGACCTATGTAGAACATTATCCTCCAGCAAACGTATCAGGGGATTCTATTCTGGGCCCAGGAAAGAAAAGTAAAAATAACTACTAAGTACTGGGTTACCTGTGAATTTGAACTGGAGGATGCTGGGTTAGTTGTCAGTAAGTCAATCCCTTTAGGAAAGTTATAAAGCAAAAATGGTTTAAACAAATAGGAGCTCTGTAGCCTATCCTGGTTTGAATCTTGGCTCTGCACTTACTAACGATGTGACTTCGGGCAAAGTACATAACCACTCTGTGTCTCAGTTTCCTCATCTCTAGGATGGGATTAAGGATATTGCCTTAATCATAGAGTTGTGAGAATTCAGTACACTAATACATGGGAAAGGCTAGAATAGTCTCTGATGACAAGTGCATAAAAAAATGTGGCTATGAAGCCAACCAAATCTTATTTTTGCATCTCTTTAGGTTGCTTGGTTCTTCTTGATGGTGCCTCAAATATAGACTCATAGTGTGTTAGAAACGAAGTCTTATTCTTTGAGGAATGGAGAGGCTATCCCATCCATATCTACACCCCACACTCAGGAGTAATGAGTCTTGCCTAGAATTATACAGGTAATTAATGGAAAGGCTGGGATTTGGATCAAAGAAGTAACTACTACTCCCTATAGCTGCCATTTTTTTAAAAGCATCTGCTCTGGCTGGGAACTGTAACATACACCGTTTCATTCAACTTCTAAAATGACAATGCTGAGTTATTATCAATTCCTTTTTACAAGCAAGAAAACTGAGGTTCAAAGAGACTCTCCATTTTACCCCAAATCTCACAACTGGTAATGGAAGACCAGGATTTGACTCCAAAATCTGTGATCCTTCCACTTTGGTAAACACAGTATTTGACAAATGTATGTATAAGCCCAACACCATGCTTGAACTTAAAAATAGTATCATAGCACTTTGGCAAATTCTGAACTTCCTTTTTATTTGAAAACAAAAACAAAAACAAAAAACAACCCTACACATTTGAATTTTAATTATCTGATTTTAAGAACTGATACCAACCTTTAGTTATTCATTTGTTAAAATTGCAGTAACAGACATGGAGATTACTTCAGGGAGAAAGGATAGGAATAAAACAATGACATATAAAAAATAATCAAAATAAAAATCCTATATAGTTTAGGATCAATACCATGAAAATCTCTAAAATAGGTACTCCTTAGTCTAGTTTCAGAGTAGAGCCTCAAAGACAAATCCAAATCAATTGCGAATGTTATCAGCTCCGTTTTAAAATCAATACCAGTCTTTGGGAACAATTGTTTTAAAACTGTCTTTTTTTGTTAGAAGTATCTGATGGTCCCTTTGTAGGGATTCCATTTATATCCACAATATTATAGCATCCTTCCCCATGAATTTTATTCATGGTTTATCATACAGCTTTTGGGGTTATTCATGACTGACAGCAGAAATGAGAGGATGTGTATGTGTGTGTGTAAGACTTGAGGCCCTCAAGGGAAACTATAGAGTCCAAATAGAAGTTCTTAGAAAAATCCATAAAAAGCTATTTGTATATTTTGAAATTTTGGGATTATATAAAAACAAGAATCTTGTCAATTTATCTACAGCATTTATATGGCATTGAAAACAAAGTCAATGGCCTCTCTCTTCTCCACCCCGAGACTTCATCATTCCCACCACAGGCTTTTCCCACTGTCATACTTTAATGCAGAATCATTTCTCAGTTTGGTGCATGCGGTATAATGGGGATGACTGCTGGGACAGGGGAGTCAGGCTCTTGGAGTTTCTGCCCTTAGGGAAGGCGGAGAGAGGGAAGCTTTCAGGGCATTTCAGCCCCATTTTCCAGGCTGCTTCCAGTGTGTGTGCTTTCTGCTGAATCTATGTGTGCCTTGAAGTAGGAGATGGCAGGAGGCACATGATCATTTTTACCAGTCCTTGAAAAATTTAGTCTTTAGATTGCACACATGTTAAAATTTAATAATAAACTTACCTAAACTTCTAAAGTTAAAAGTTCATCTGGGGAATTTCATGTGGTTTGTCATAAATGCTTCATATGACCCATTTCGAGGTCCTTCCTGCCTCCCATAGGGGTGGCACTTTCCTTTTGGAGGGAATTAACAAAATTTGAACATGACATTGCAAAGACCCATGCAGCAGACAAAAAAAGTAGAGATCTTTCCTTAAAGCTCATATCCAACCTCGTTTCCCACATCCAGAAGACAAAGCTCATCTGATTTCCCAGCATTTTCCTCAAGGGCCTAGTATTTGGAAGTGACATGCGGCTCTTCCATAGGGATTCTTCAGAGAGTGATAGCAATGGAGGGACACAAAAGCAGAAGGTGCTCACTGGTGCCAGAGGTGACGCCATCCAACTGGAAGAAAATGACCCTGAGCCAAAGCAGTCAATACCTCTTCTTCTGAGGCTCCTTCTCAGGAAGGCTCCCATCACACCATCCATGCTGGTGACTCTGAGTCAAATGACCAGTGGACCTTTTTACTTTTACTAAGAATTTGCCCAGGATGGCCATCTCCTTGTCTATCTCTTGGCACCTGAGTTTGACAGCTTTATGGAGTACTTGCACGTGCTGGTGGGCCTTCCTCTCCTCCCCGCTGTTGGCTACATGAGCCCACCTCAGCTGTGCTGTATCTTCCACCTTTAAGATCAAGACATTCTTCACCTTACTGAATCCCAGGTCAGCCATGGATGAAACCCTGGCCAGGGGCGATCCCAGATAAGCAGGCGAGGTTCTGGGCTGTGCACTTGCAAGAATGTCTGTGAGTCTTTTTATAGCTTTCAGGTTACTATTTAACTCCCCTTTGCAAGGTTGGCTGCTCACCGTGACTTGTGATAAAAAAAAGTATTGGGGTCAACCTCCTGGCCCAAAGGCCTGTCCAGGAGACTCAGGGAGTGGGGCACACACCTCATCTTCAGCTTTGCCTTCCTCCCACATATCTCGCAGGCTGGAGATATGCAGCTGTCATCCAGGGCTTTCTCAAACCAAACTTCAACTTTTAGTGCTTATTCATCTCTTCAAACATCTTCCTTCTCTTCTTTGTTGCTTAGTGATATTCCCCAATAGTTAAGTGGCTCTCCTCGTGCTGCCCGAAATGTCCTCAACAATAAAAACTGCTGAGGCCTGAAATTATAAGATTGCAGGGTCACAAAATACACTTGAAGGTCCAGGGGGTCGTGGCAAGGCCTGGAACCAGAGAGCTCCCAGAGTCTAAGACTAAGACTCATTTGTCTGTTATTATTCACAAAATAAATGACATTTTAAACTTTGTCATATTTCTAATTTT